AGTAGCAGCGGAATAATTTTATGGTTGAGATACTGTAGTAGAGGGTCTCAGCATCAGGAAGGTTGAGAACCACTGCTCCAGCTGAAGAGTCTGAACTCTCAGACAGCTTTGCCCAGCACTGGGATCTGTGGCAGGGCCTGGCTCACTGGTAAACTCAGCAGGGCCGTCCTGTTATCACAGGACAAGTTGGCTCACAATGGTTTGGTCCCCAGGGGCTGATTTTTACTCTTATTTTCTCTACCCAAAAATAGCATTTTCTATCTTTGGTGCCTCATTTAAAACAAAAATACTTGTTGGCCAGTGGTTAGGGCAGCAGACTTCCTGGCCGCCTGCTGTCAGGGTACGGTGTGCAGTGAACTGTAGTCCCATAGCCTTAGGAGCAGGCTCTGATTTAGCAGGAAGTACATCAGGAAAGGCAGACTAAACTCAATTATAAAAAAAGGAAAAATAAACCTAAGCCAGGGAAAAGTGGTCTCAGTGGACTAAACTCTCGAGTCAGAGGACTGCTTTGTTTGGTGCGACACCACCCCGTAAAGCTGGGCCCTAGGTTCTAATTGCTTCTCTGTCAGGCATGCCCTAATAGAGAAGCAGCAGAGCCAACTTCACTTGGGTCTTTGCCTTTGTCTTTCTGCAACCCATCCTAGTGTGGGACCAGACAAGGACCATACCAAAGGAGAGGGGCTGGACTTGGCATGCTGGTGACAGCCACTTACTTTCCAGCGCGTCATCTCTGACTTCAGGAGCCCCTGTGGTGACTTCATCTGGGGTACTATAGTTTTTGTGCTCCACTCCCTTCTTCTGGCAGAGCCCTGTTTTGTGACTGAAGTGATATGATGAGGCTGGGGGCTGGTGTGGGAAGGCCTCAGATTTTCTATACTGAGGGCGTATGGCTTAGTGCCCAGGGCTGAAGATCTGGAGTCTGGCGGGCCAGCTCCATGTCCAAGTTAGGGAAACTCTGAACACGTTGTTTACTCTCGAGGCAGCCAATGTATAAAGAGGACATTAATATTGCACCTGGCAGGGTGGTTGTAATGCCAAGTGCACCCCACCAGTGGCCGGTGCCCAGCAGGCCATAAGGTGCATCACAGCTACATAATCCCAGCCTAGAAGAAAAGCAGGTGCCTGCATGACAAGTAAGGAGAGAGATCCTGGTTAGCCCAGAGCCTGCTCTCCTGTAGCTCTGCACTCCACACTGATTAGCTCGCGTGGCCCTTGGTGTTTGAAGTATGTGCCATTTTTCAGGAGGTTCAAGATGCTGAAAGGAGGTCTGGTGTGAGTAATGGTAATCGGCCCTCTAAATCCTTCACATTAGGATCTCATGACTGGAAACAGTTGCCCTAGAGTCACATGGGGCCACATGCTATCTCCTGTGACTTTGCAGGCTTGCAGCCTGTAGCTTCTGACCAAGACTTCTTGGAGCGATAGAGGCAGACCAGTGACCATTCAGTGTTCAAAGACTGCAAGGGTGGGAAGCACCATCCTGTGTAGCCCTGGCACCGGGTGACAGCATCCTCAGTTTTGGTAGCACGAGAAAGACCCCAGTACTGGCTAGATTAGAATGGAATGTGCTGGGAGGCCTCTGGGAGGACACAGGGCTGCTTGACATCCGGGGCCAGGCTAGGGACCAGGCACAAAACACATTCCCTGTCCTAGTGGCTGCTGGGCTGGCAGCAGCACCAGCAGGCCTTTGTCCTAGCACACATCCATTGGCTTTTGGGTCCCCTTCTGGCTGACTTAAGCTCTTGGCTTCTCAGGGACTTTCTGTATCTGCTTTTCTGAATAGAAGTCCCTAGAATTACTCCCACCCAAGCCATGGATAGAGAAAGACAGATTGAAGAAGAGAGGAAGCTGTGGTCTTGACTGGCTGAGTTAGCCAGACATTATCAGGTGCAGGTGACTCCTTGGTGGCCAAATGTATTAAGCGGGGACCATGCTGAAGCACTGCTTGAGAACTATAGAGGGCAGAGCTGGGAACTCTGGCTAGTCTCATCGAGGATGAGCCTGCCCAGGAGGTTGTGGAGAAGAGAGGGTGTGTAGGCCACACCTACACTGCTGAGAGCTGTGTAGGCCAGCTGGAGTAGTTGAGGGAGGGTCGGAGGTAAAAAAAAAATGTATTGGCCTTCAGAGATGAAAGGGGAGACGTGCTCAGAGAAGCAGGTCTCTGCTGCTGGCCCTCTTGCCACCAAATAGCAAAGCCAGTTTGGAGACAGTGAGGGTTTGGGGACCTGTTGAATACAAGGTCATCAGTGGAGGCAGCCACAGAGCCTGGCCCCTCTGGAGGATTGTGTGAAAAGAGGGTTGGATCTCATCTCGCCCCCAGGGTACTTGGAAAGTACAGTTTGCTAGAGTGCTTTTGATCTGCCCACAGACTACATTTTTCTGAATGACACCTTGAGGTATTTCTTTGGTGGAAAATGTGAACTGTCTCTTTCAGAGGGAGGTAAGACTCGTTCCTTATGTCACTTTGGGTGAACAGGGCTGATCCTGTTTACAAGGGTTATTGTTATTTACTCAGTGAGAGGTGGTGATGTAGAAGAAACTCAAAGTAATAGGACTGATCTTAGAAGAGATCATTAGTCGATTTGCTGAGGAGACCTTCAGTCACATAGTGGAACTTAGCTAAAGGAGCTCTGCCTCCAAAACACCCCAGAGGGTCTGCCAACCAGGCCTGTTGGAGATGAGGGAAATTTAGGATGCTAGGGTATAAATGTTTGTTCACCAGGATTAACCAGCCTTTAGGCTCCATTCTCATAACAAAGGACACAGCACTGATATAGAACCAGGCATTAGGCCTATCCCCCAAAGATGTACTTCTAATAGCAACTCAAGGGCACAGGGTCACAACCATTAATAGTTCTGGTCACCATTAAGTCCCTGTGCTTTTAGCAGGAAAAACACTCACTATTCTGCCAGGTGGGCAGGATAGATCTGAGCAGCAACTATTGGAAAAGAATAACACTGGTGTGCCTAAGAGCTATTTCTGGTAATATTTTTTCTCTGTGTGAATCTCCCATCTTTCCAAGTAGACAGACTTGTGGTTGCCTGTCTCTGTTTAAATTGTCTGAAGTGTGACTTGGGGCTGGAACCTGAAGGAGACTTAAGGATGACAGAGTATGTGAAATGCATAAGTCCACGGTATATATAAGTTAGTGAAACTTTCTGTTCAAGGCCAGCTCTTCCTTCAGCATTAGCCAGAGCCAGACACACTTGTCATTCATGTCTAAGCGTGTGCAGTGATTCCTCCCTGGGAAGGAGTGCTGTTTCTAATACAGTGGCTCTCAAGCACCTGGCTCCCTTGCCAGAGTCAGTGTCAGTCTTCCAGAGTTGGTGCTTGGGGGTCAGAAAGCGTCCTCAGCCTGCAATGGGCCTGGGCTATGTGGGGAGCCATCTCATGCCCAGGGAGGCTCTCACGGTGGGAGACAGCAGTGGGAGGTGAGACTCAGTTCTAAGTCCTGGCTTCCATCTGCATCACTGTTTCCCACCTATTAGCTACTATTGATTTTTCATTTAACTTGTATTTATTAAAGAGAAAGAAAAAGAAAGCCAACGCAAACACGTGTATGTTACTGTTACAGTGGTGATCTGTTATTAGCCCCACAACCTGTCCCTTTGGTGACCTCAGTGAGCCTGGTTCCTTAATGTGGCATGTCCTCTGCTACCAATATGACCTTTTGGTTTTTAAACTATCTTCATTTTCATTACACAAGGTTGGAAATACCTACTTGTTGTAGGAAGCCAAATGGCCACAGCTTATGTCCCTGTGACGACCCCTTTCTGAGTCTCCTTCCTAGTGCTAGCCTTAGTCATCTACACAGAGTAGGAGAGCAATTGAGCCCTTCCCTTGTGTGTGATTCATTTGTTTCTGTTATTGTTTTAAACATAAATGGTGGCACGTTTTCTGTTTTCTTTTTTTTATTTTAAATTTTGTTTTGTTCTTTTAGAGACAGGATTTCTTAGTGCAGCCCTGGTTGGCCTGGAACTATGTAGACCAGGGTGGCTTCAGAGACCTGTCTACCCCTGCCTCCTGAGTGCTGGGAATTAAGGTGTGCACCATCACACCAAGCTGACTTTGTTGTTGTTTTTCAAGACAAGATTTCACTGTGTAACAGTTATAATTATACTGGAATTCACTGTAGACCGGGCTGACCTCCAACTCACAGAGATCTGTCTGCCTCTGCCTCCTGAGTGCTGGGATTAAAGGCGTGTGCTACCACTACCCAGCTTGAAATTTTAATAAATGAAAACAGTAATACTTGGTTTGAAAGTATCACATCGTGGGAGCGTAATTCCAGCACAGAGCTGGCCATCTCCCTTTTCTGTGAAAGGTGTGTCCCCTCCCTTTGCAGCCTCTCCTGTTCTTCCTCACCAGCTAATTGGTGTCTGTTCACCTGAGTTCGTCACTGTAGTGGTTCTGGATTTGCCCCTACTCAGACTCAGGGCTCTTAAGGCTGTGCCTCCTGCTGGTGGCACAGCATGAACTTCTGCTAGAACCAGGCTCCCACAGCTCATACCAGCCCTGCCTGTGCTCGGAGGGGTGCTAGGGCCCGAGCAGGGTCAGTGGGAGGAAGTTTGAGCAATGGCTGCAAGGAATATGCCTCAGAATAGGACCTCTCATGCCATGGGTCTGTCTGTGAGCCTCTCTTACCCTGTGTGGCTCTGTACTTAGGCCTGGGCTGGCCCAGGGCCTGCAGTTGTGGCCTTGGATGGCTTCCTTGAATGAGGACCACTGGCTGGGGATGAAGACTGGTACAGAGGAAGGAAGGCCACAGTCTCAGTGGTCTGAGATAGTAATCTCTGGGGCCTTTCTGCCTTATTACACCCTCTCTGTCTTAGCTTATCTCTTGAGCACTCTGGGAAGAAAGAAACCGCACAGCATTGGCATTAGCCCAAGAGAGCTCAAACATTTCTGGCTGGGCTGCCAGTGAGGTCAGGTGCCAGAGCGATTGAAACAGGCTGTGTGTGCTTTCTGATGAATCCACCCCCCCTCCCCATATTTCCAGGAAATGCTACTGTGGATAAGCTGGAGGACTTCATCAGCAATATCAACAGTGTCTTGGAGTCTTTGTATATTGAGATAAAGAAAGGAGCCACAGAAGACGACGGGAGACCCATCTATGCTCTGGTATGTGTGAGGAAGTGCCCTCTAGTGGCACTTTGGGAAACTGGAGCAGAGGCCTCTACAGGTAGCATTCCTGACCCACTCTTCTGTCTGAGAGGGTGGAGAAAGAGGCAGTGGCGGTCAACTCTCTGATGGAGACACAGCTTGATTCCTGTGTGGTTTATTTTTAGGTGAATCTTGCTACAACTTCAATTTCCAAAATGGCCACGGATTTTGCAGAGAACGAGCTGGACCTGTTTAGAAAGGCTGTGAGTACAGCAGTTCTCTCTGCTGCCTTGGCTGTGCTTCTAATGGGAGGGAAGAGGAGCTGCAGTCGCGGAGGCCACTGTCATGCTCCCAGCTTCCTGGGTCTCACAGGGAGATGCAGACCTCAAATCACCTGCCAAATCGTGCTTGTTGGAATGCATGGAATGTTAAACCCAAACCTGCACTTTAATGAGGTGTTCACTGAACACTGACGTGCTAGGGTCCTGTTCTTCCAAGCTTTGGAGCAGTTTGCTCAGCCCATCTGTTACACATGGCTAAGACAGTGGTTCTGTCCTGGAAGCATATAGCAGTTATTGAGAAGGTAAGAAAGGAGTGCCCTCTTGGGCCCCACCTTGGCTGAGTCCTTCAGGACAGGTAAACTTTCTAGTTTTATGGTTTCATAATGATCCTGGGCTGTCAGCAAAGGTGTGGAGAATAAGGCTGGGGCACACCTGTGCATACATAGACACAGGATACCTGTCCTGCCACAGACAGAAGTCTTAGGGAACATGCCTGGCCCACCCAAGTCCTTGCAGCCTCTTCTCCTAACCCACACTGTCTCTGCTCCTCCGCCTCTGAGTGAGGAGAGGTGCTGCTTTATGGTACTCAGTCATTTTTCTCCTTCAGGGAGATGGGGGCAGGGCAACAGCCCTATTCTGGCATCTCATCAGTTGGACTGGACATGTCTACTGATGTGTATTATAAAGTATCTTCCTGAAGGGTTGTCAGTGGTGTGCATGTGTTGGGCTGTTTTAACCCATCCCTGCCAGGACTGGCTGGTGGCTTAGGTACTGTGTTTGCTATCACATAATGTAGATGAATGAGACACCTCTTTCTCTTGCAGCTGGAACTGATCGTTGACTCAGAGACTGGCTTTGCTTCTTCTACAAACATTTTGAACCTGGTTGATCAACTCAAAGGCAAAAAGATGAGGAAGAAAGAGGCGGAACAGGTGTTGCAGAAGTTCGTGCAGAGCAAGTGGCTGATTGAGGTACCCTGATGGCCTTCCACCTGGGTTACTTGAAGGTGCCCAGCAGTTTTTCTGCATTCATATTTATATCCAACTGATGTCAGTTGAACGAGGCCCATCTGTGGCAGTCCCTTCTCTGCTGAAGGTTGTCTGTGACCTATGAGGAGTGCCTGTGTTCCCTGACACTCACATGGTCTGGCTTGTGCTGCAGCCACAAATGAAAGAGGCTGGAGTCGCTGAAGGGGTCCTCTGAGCCCTGATGCAGACAGAGGCATTGTGTGGTGGTTTGAGTGAGAAAGGCCCCCACCAGCTCATATGTTTGAATGCTCCAGCTAGTGGAACTGTTTGGAAAAGATGAAGAGGTGTGGTCTTGTTGGAAAAGGTGTGTCTCTGGGTGGGGGGCACTTTGAGGTTTTAAGAGTCTCATCATCCCCAGTGTGCTCTCTGTCTCCTGCTTATGGATCAGGATGTAAGCTGTCAGTGCCTGGCCTATCTGCCATGATGGTCATGGTCTCTAACCCTCAGCACTGTAAGCTCCCAATCAGATGCTTTCCTCTATAAGTTCCCTCAGTCACAGCAATGAAAAAGTAACTGAGATAAAGGCCAGGAGGCTGGGAGGATCCTGTCCTGACCCCTGCCTGGCTCCGATGGCTGGTGCAGAGGACCGCCCTTTCATTCCTGTACCCAGGGAGAAACAAACCCTGGCATGGACGGGACAAGTGTGAGTGTGGAGTGCCTTGCAGAGCCACCTGCCACAAGAGGCCTTTAGATGGCGCTGTCAGCGTGACATTGCTGGGGTCCAGTGCTCTTCACCCTTCCACTGAGGACACTGACCCACAGGTGCAAAGGGGTGGGTCTTTGAGAGAAGCAGGCTGTGCGATGAGGCCTCCTGACTGGAGTGAAGCAAATGCCTCAGGTTTTCCCCCATAAAAGGCACTGCTGTTCACATAAGCCCAGGCCTGGGCTCAGGTTGGCCCTGTTGATCACAACTCTGTCCCCCACAAGAGCCCTGGCTTACATCTGCTGGCAGTGCTACCTTGTCCCCCACTTCTTCCTTAAGAAGTCAGACCCATAGTCTGAGGCTGCAATTTGTAACCTCAGTGGCCCTTAACCTCCTCTCTGGGAACCTTGCTAGAATTCTAATCTTCGGTATCTGCTGGGAAGAGAGGCAGGATGCCTATGGGGAGTAAGAGCCAGGTTGGGGACATCTTGCGTGTCCCATGAAGGTGGTGTGTGTGTTGACCACAGCTTGGTGGTTTGCTTATGTTGACACCTTGTAGACATGAAGCCCAGGTAACAAGCCTGGCTAGGTGCCTGTAACACACATCAATGGCTCTCACAGTTTCAGTTTCTTGTCCTCTCTGGGCTGGGGTTGTCAGTGCCGAATGTTCTTGGTGTGCTCTCTTTGAGGCTTTTTGAGAGCAGGGGTTCTGACTTCATTGCCCTGTTGCAGAATGTGCCTCTTTCCTGTAGTGTTCAGTAAATGCTTGTTGAACGGGTGACCAGGCTAGCAGAGATGAAGCTCCAGAGAGATGGTAGGAGAAAAGTTTGCTCACCGTGGACAGTTCTCTTTGCCCAGCTCTTTTCTGCTGAGAGGAAGGTTCCCACCTCCAGCGTCTTGAGGCCTACCATGGTATCCATGGCCTCCAGGCCCCATCCTTCTGGTGCCTTCCTTTCAGAATGGAGATGCTGGCTCTGCCTTCTGCAGGGAAAGCTGAGCTGTTCTGAAGAATTCTGTGAGCTACTGTGGAGGGAGTGCTGCAGAAACCAGCATGCCAGCTGCCCCTGCCTTGGCACCCTTCAGCCCCTCATTCTCCTCAGCTCTGCCATTGGGCACCTCTGAGTTCTTGTTCACCATGTATCTGGTGAAGGAAGGCGTAGGCTCAGGCAGTCGGGGTTGTGGTTGGGAGAGTACCTTCTGGCTCTTCCACTGTCTCTGGCTGTGTTTTCTGATTGGACAACCTGGGCAGGACAGCTGTGAGTTCTGTGGGGAACTCACTGAAGGACTGATGACTGAGTTGCTGGCTGGTCCCTGATGAGCCTTCCTGGGCAGCCAGATCCTTGATCAGAGGGACTTTATTTAGGCTCATCTTTGGCCTTAGAAATGCAGCCTGCATCTGCTAAGAAGGCTTCCCACATGTATCGCTCACAGGCACTTTTCCTCCCTGGGGCTCTAGCTTGGCTCTGAGGTGCTATCAGCTGTGTGGTCCACTGGGAGGTTCTGGACTGGAAGGTGGCACCTTATTAGCCACATCTTCCCACGTGCCAGGTTGGCTCCCTCTAGTGGGGTCCAGCCTCAAGAGCAGGGAAAGGTGGGTCAGCGAGCTAGCCAAGTAGTGGGCCCCCACTGTGGATCTGGATCTTTGGGGGATGATAGCCACAGGACTGAGAATAGCCAGAGAGCCACGCTCCCACCACACCTGAGGCGGCTCAGTCTCCACTGCTGTACAAAGGCCTTCCTAATTTTGCACTCCCTTTCCACTACCCCTTCTTGCTCCTAGCCCACCTCTACTTGCTCCTTTGGTCACCAGGCCAAATAGATCATATTACATGGATCTCTGAGCTTCTGCCTTGGAAAGGAGCCCAGCTTCCACAAGCACCCACCCACACACACACACACACGCACACTGAGTGGTGGGTTGGGAGGGAACCGAGGTGTGTAACTGTCCCAGACTCAAGTCAGCCCTTGCTATGAAAGACAACGACAGCAGAGGACTGTTGGGGGCCGTATGCTCAGCCTCCATTGCTGCAGCACCATCTTATGTGGCCTGAGCTGTCAGCTTCCCTCAGCCCACGTCACATGCCCAGGACCACCAAAACTCCATACTGGCCCTTCCAGCGTCCCATCAAAGAAGCAGGGATAGCAGTGAATGTGAGTGAGTCCACATTGCTCATTGTTGGCTGTGATAAAGCCCCTCCAGCAGCCTTGCCTCTGCCTGTTAGGCAGTGGTGTTTGCTCCACAGTTACATAACTACGTGTTCATGTTGCCTGGCCTTCCTAAGGTATGAACTGTACCCAGATATGGAGACCAGAAGGTCTGGCTTCCTTTGGAGGCTCTGCCACTCACACCAATATGGGGGCTCCTTCCAGCTTTATTTGTAAAATGACAGGACATGAAAATGGCTGTGACGTGGGAGCAGTGGTGGGAAGGGAAGGAGAAGTGGGTACCTGACCGGGTCTGTCTTGGGTCACCCTTTGGGACACTGCCTCTCTTACTTGCCTCAGTCTTCCTTTGCTGAAGCCACTGACTGTGACTCACTTGTGGGGCAGCGGTCATCACATCTGTAAAAGCACATGTGTGGTCTGAGGTCTGGGGGTGACAGGATCCTCACCTCCACTTTCTGATCATGATGTCATCAGTCTATAAAGGTGACAGGAAGGTCTGGGGGTGGCAGGATCCTCACCTCCACTTTCTGATCATGATGTCATCAGTCTATAAAGGTGACAGGATCCTCACCTCCGCTGTCTTTTCCATCTCTTCCTTGATTACCATTTCTGAGGTTGGGTAAGGGGACATTGCTGACATTGGTTGGCTGGGATCGGTGACATCGAGCAATGACTAGACCATGTCCTCTGCACTCTGGACTGTGGGATCAGGGGAGTCAGCACTGAGCCAGCATGTGAGTGTGTTTTGTCCCCGCAGAAGGAGGGGGAGTTCACCTTGCATGGCCGGGCCATCTTGGAGATGGAGCAGTTCATCCGAGAGTCCTACCCGGATGCCGTGAAGATATGCAACATTTGCCACAGCCTCCTCATCCAGGTACTGAAGACACTGGGAGCAGGGTTCTGATGCTCAGCCCACTTGGCCTCCACTGTTGTGTCCCCAACAGTCGGCACCTTCTGGACAGGCCATGATCTACTCCCTTGCTGGTGCATCCCTGGTTCTTTCCCTAGCCATTCCACTCTAGCCCAGGGTGCTGCTGGGTATTGCTGATAACTTTGGTACAGGGGGTTCCGTAAGTCTTGGTGGCTCTGTGACAAATGTCTCTCTGTACCCACCCACCGTTCTGCTTCTCACTGCAGGCTTTCCCACCATTCAGCCAGGCTGGTTGCCTAATTTGCTTCGTTTTATTGTGGGCAAGCAGGTTCCATGCTGAGCTTCTGAGTGCGTATCCACGGTGTCTGTGGTCTTCCCATGGTCAGACTTTGGGAGGTGGAGTCTGTGGCTTACCTCATGCTTGTGTTGACCTTAAGTGTGCGATACATGATGTCATTCAGTCTACTGCACAGCTCTGCCTATACCTCCCACCTGGGGATCTCTGAACAGTGAGCCTGACTCTGGAGCTACAGGGGCCTAGTAGGGAGTGAGGTTTTCAGTGTCTCCACTTGTTCAAAATTCTGTAGTGCAGGCCCTACAGTAGGGCTTGGGGTTATTACCAGCATTAAGTTGGGTTCTAGAAGTTTAAATCTCCAGCCTGCTTGCCATTTTCTTGTAGCTTTCTGAAGGTTTGTGAAGTTGAGGGATGTCCTTGCTTCATGGTCATTGGCCTTTCTTGTTTCAGGGTCAGAGCTGCGAGACGTGTGGTATTAGGATGCATTTGCCTTGTGTGGCCAAGTACTTCCAGTCCACCTCTGAGCCACGCTGCCCCCACTGCAATGACTACTGGCCCCATGACATACCAGGTACATGACTCCAGAGTGCCCATGACATACCAGGTACATGACCCCAGAGTGCCCATGGGAGGGGGCAGCCTTGTGATGGGCTGTCTGTGGGACCTCAGTTCTGAGGCTGGGCACCAAGAGCACCCTTGGAGAGAGGACTGAGAAGGACTCCGAGCATGAAGGTCAGTGTTGGTAACCGGCTGAAGCACAGGTGAAAGCTGCTTGCCTGCCTTGTTCTAAAGGGATCCAGATCCACGGGAAACCTCAAAGCTCATGAGAGTCCCAAAAAAGGCTTGCCTCATAGCCCGTCCAGGAAGAGGGATGGGAAAGCCATTTCCCAGCACCCTCAGTGAACTTTGCTGCCTGGCTCACGTGCTGAGGGGGAGAAGGGTTAGCAGTGAATTACAGACAGGACAGGTCCTCTGCATGGGAAGTAGTTGTAGCTATCAGCTGTGCTCTGTGTGATCAGTCCATTGATCACACCGCTTACTGTGTCTCCCTGCTGTTCTATACACAGAAGTCTTCGACCCTGAGAAGGAGAGGGAGGCTGGCATCTCCAGGTCGAGCAGAAAGTCCTTACGGACCCGTCAGCACTAGCTGTGTCCTGCATGGCTCTGGCTGTTGGTGGACTGATCCTCACGACCCATTCAGACCAGGGCCCTGACACATGGCACATGAATTGTCTCCCTTGTTATTTGCGCTTAACATATTTTTAATAAATGTTTCCTGATGGTTGCTGTACTCTGCAATCTCGAGTTTGTGTGGGGCTGGGTTCCCCATGCTGAGGCAAGTGAACTGAACGGCAGCACTGGGTCAGAGCCACTGCCAGTCCTGGGCAGGTGTCTCTGTGTCTGGCTCTGGGTGGTTTTGGTCCATGACCTTGGCCTTAGTGTCCATAGCTACAATAGCACCTTACTCTGACCCCAGTGTAGTAGCCCTTGCAGGCTGGGCTGGACTCATTTTTGTGCTGTTCACATAGGGCCTTTTGTCCACTGGTTATTTCAGCAAGTAGCCTGAGAGCCCAGTCTCTTTGTCCCTGACAATCTATATGAGGTTGTCCTCAAAGCCCTTGCTGTTTGGCCCCACAACTGCTGTCCAAACCAGAACCTACCCCATCACCAGCTTAGCTGCTCTGGTCCTGGTTCCATTCCCCTTGGACAGTCACATGCCACACCCTGCTGAGACCTGTTTTGATTTAGGATGATTGAATTGAATTAGGACACACAGTGGTGGTTCTCACCTGCTCACCTCAGCCTTCCTTCCTTTCTCAACTCCTCCCCTTTGGTCCCTGGACTCACCACCATAGTACCCAGTGCCCTTCCTTGATCAGCTCTTGCCATACTGTGGTTCTCTGCCTGCTTCTATTTTGCCCCAACACGTCAGAACCCATACTGGCCCAAATGAGGACTGATGTGGCCACAGGTTCCTTCTGGAGGGGCTAGGCTTGTGGTTCCAGTGATGTCACAGGAACCTTTGTGATGTCACTTTCTGCCTCTGTCGAACTCTGGCAGAAAAGCAGAGCCCATCTAGAAAGGCCAGGGTTTTTTTTTTTTTTTTTTTTTTTTTTGAGTCCCCAGTCCCAGGATGTCCTGTACCCTCAGAGCCTTTAAGGTGTAGCTCAGGAGCAATCCCTGTAGCTCTGCCCTAGGACTACCCTGGGCATGGTGCCTCTCCAGTTCCTGTGCTGGGATATCCAGCTGCCTCCCTGTCCTGTGTTGCGGTGTTAACAGTTCAGGCCATCCCTGAGGTGACCAAGGAGCTCTGGAGATAGCAGCTCTCCTGCCACCTGTCTCTCTATCTCCAGCGTTTTCCCAGGGTACCAGCCAGTCATATAAGCATCTCAAAGGGATTGATACTCTCCACCCCAAACCCTCACTATCCCAGACCCTAGTTTGATGTCCTTTACAATCTGTTCTGCCCTCTCTGCCAGTGCCCTCTGGTCCCACTGGTGCCTTGGGTGGGAATCACTGACTGGACCAGGCCCCTCCTGCTTCTCCCAGCTCCCAGCCTTCCCACTTCCAGGTCTTGGTCTACACTGTGACATCGAAGAGCAGTGGCTTCACCCTGTGCTCACCCCTGGTACTGCCCCTTTCCCGGGCCTGGCCGATCCTCTTGGGTCTGTCCTAGTTCACTTGTGTTGCTCTGGTAAATACCATAGCCAGAAGGAGCCTGGGGAGGAGAAACTTTCTCCTTACAGCTTTCCAGTCCATCACGAAGGGCAGGAACTCAAGGTAGGAGAGACCTGGAGGCAGGAACTCAAGCAGAGGCCGTCGACGGGTGCTGCTTACTGGCTTCCTTTCTTTCCTTCCTTTCCTCCCAGTGTTCTCTCCCTGTGCCTGTGCCTTACTTAGTCTGCAGAGGCAGGTGGAGCAGAGCAAGTTCCAGAACAAGCACCAAAGCCACAGAGAAACCCTGTCTCGAAAAACCAAAACAAACAAACAAAAAAAGAAAAAAGAAAAAAAAGAACATGCCCTACAGACTTGTCTTGAAAGTCCTCTTCCTAGATGACTAGCTTGTGTCAAGTTGATAACAAACCCAACCAATCAACCAGCCAAACAAAACCCCAACCAGGATAGGGCTGCTAGTGCTGTTTCCAAGACAGCTTGAGAGTCCATTCTCGCCAGTGAGCAGAAGGCAGCCGTCCAGGCAGGTTCCAGCGGCAGCCTTGTTCCATCCTCCCTGTCCCTCATCTGGTGGTTGCCATCTCTCTGCTGCTCAGCAGTGGCCCAGGATAGTATTGAACTTGCTGGTTGTTATAGGGGTACAGGCTGGGCCAGTGCCCCCTACCCTCCTGGGGATGAGTGGCTCATCATTAGGGCACATCATCTGGAATGCTGGCTTTCCTACTCTATGCCTTAGTGCTCCGAGCAGCACTGCTGTTGTAGTAATTGTCCAAGTGAGATGACGTAAGCAACTGCTAGTCGCCAAGAGGATGCCAACCTCAAAGGCCCCTGCTGCCTACTCCCCGGGCTTCTGGCTGCCTCCGCCTGATGTACATCCCTCCCTGCCAAAGCTAGCTGTCTAAAAAGGCATACTCTGATGGTCTAGACTCCCAGATCCTGTGTGACCAAACTTAGATTTCTTGGCCTGGTCATCTTCTTGTCATTGGGATGGGGTGGAGCTGGAAACTAGGCCTGTCAATCATCAGCCATCCCTGAGGCCACAGGCCTAGCCACCAGCATCCTTACTGGTAATTCTTGGTCTGAGGTGAAGGGTCTAGCAGTTGATACTGGGGGTCAAGATGTGGAGAAGGAGATGAAGTCAGAGCTGCCCTCTTCCCCGTTCCAGAAAAGGGAAAACAGTGAAACCAACTGGAGACCAGAGAGGTGGAGGAAGGGAAGGTCAGGAACTGTGGCCTGGAGTGGAGACCTGTTCCGAGCCATCCAGGAGTGCTGTAGGAACGCACGGGTCTTATGTAAGCTAGTTAAGGATAGTTTTATCACCAACAAGCCAGGCCAGCCCATTGGGAGCTAGGCCTGCACACTACACACCTTTAGTTATAGCCTGCTCTGCCAGCCTCCCAAGGCTCCAGAGTCCCCACCTACTGTGCAGGCCCCTTGGTCTCTGCTTTTCCGAGCCAGCCTCTGTATGACACATTTGGCTCCCTTCCTTCAGCACCACTTACCAAGAGAGTTCATGGGCAGGGGTGTCTCCCTTGAGGGCCCATATTCCCCACCCTTCCTTTCCCAATGCCTCTGTGGTTGCCTGCTCTGCCACAGGCAGGAGGGGAATTTAGTTGAATTTAGAAAATATTTTTATTTACGTTATTGAAAAAAATGTATGTTACAAAGAAAAGGAGCATCCACAATCGGGATCCATAACCTGGGTGCGCACAGCAGCTCTGCACACAACGCATCCTACAGAGAGTATCTGGGAAAACGGGACTCGTAGACTCTAGCAGCACCCGGGGCTTCCCACCTGGCTCACTTCCTTTGGTGAGGTATCTGCCCAGTGGGTCCTTTGCACTCTGGCCCTGGCTACGACCACCAGAAGCTGACTGAGAAACTCAGGTCCAGGGAACGCACATAATGCCAATACTTAGCAGGTATAAAGAGGGTCTCTCCTGGGGACAGGATACAGGACAGGAATGGGGCCTCAGCAAACTTGGGGAACTTGTCTAGGTTGGGGTTCTCCACATCAACCTGTAGAAAGAAAAAAAAATTCACCTGCTGGTCTCTAGGCACAGCAGGCCCCATGCCACCAATTCCCCGTGTGCCCACCTGGCTGGTGTTATGAAGAAGGTGTGTCTCATGAGGGTACACTGCCTCAGACTCTTGCGGGGAATACAGCCGGATGTACTTCCTTCCTAATACCTGGGAGAGAAGAGGCCTGTCAGCTTCACTGTCCTGCTCGCTATAGGCCCATGGTCCCGTCCTCCCAGGTCTTTCTGGTGCCTAATGCCCTGCCGCCTCATCCCACCACATGCTGGCATTCTGAGAGGGCTCCCTTCAGGTACCCTACAGATCAGTGTTCTGCATGTGGCTAAGCTTCGCCAAGCACCAAGTGTGGACCTGGCTAAATCTCAGAGGAGTTTCCTCTTCATGTGGAGACAAAGTGTTGTTCACATTTACTAAGGTGACAACTGGTAGCCATCCAGGCAGTGGGCCCATGGGCCCTGGCTCTTAGCTGCTCCTGAGCTGCTGTGCAGGGCTGGCTCAATGCTCTGCAAGCATGCTCTCATGTGTTAAGTCTTCTTAGCAACTGAGCCTGTGCTAAGTTCTTAGAGCAATGGGTGTGTGCTCTTTCCCTTGTGACAACCTTTGAGTCTCTGGAACATCACAATGGCTAAGAGACCTGTCCTGTCAGCCATAATCCACAGATGCAAGCTAGCAGTGGGGATGAGGGTGGCTGGCAGGTGACAGTGATGGCATAGGGCTGCTAGAATGTGCCAGGCCCTCCTTTCAAGAGCTTTCCTGCTTGGTCCCAGATAAATCCCACGTGAGTATAGCCTTGACTTGGGAGAAGCCCTATTCCAGGGCCTCAGGGCTATTTTTTTTTTCTGTCTACAGCCCTTTCACTTCCCTTTCCTCCCCCACCCCCTTTTTGAGATCAGGTCTCCTATAGCTCAGACTGGTCTTGAACTGACTAGGTGGCTGAGGATGACCTTGAACCTCCCAAGTGCTGGGATTATGGGTATTTACCACAACAAGCTCCTGTCTGGCATCAACTCCTACCTGGACCAGGAAGTTCTGCTGGGGGTCATGATGCAGAGGGGAGATAGTTCCTTTGGGACCAAACCAGGCATTGATAGTGATCTCTTCCTCTTCCCCATTGCCCAGGCAACAGTAATCGGGGATGCTGATGTCCTCTTTCAACTCTGGGATCTGAGGGTAGTGGGAGGAAGCAGAAGCCAGGGCTAGGTATGCCAGCCAGGACCCAGCTGATACCTGACTGCTTGATACATTCCTTGATTCATTTTGTTGTTTTTGAGACAGTTTCTCTGCTTCTCATCCTCTTCCCTCAGCCTCACAAGTACAGGTATTTCAGGTATGTGCCATTCTGCCCAGTTTAAGTTCATATTCTAATGAATAAAATCTTAGGATGTAAACAGTAGATAAGAATTATAATCTTCATATTTGCTTCTATATCACATAGATTTTTTTTTAAAGAAACCTGGTATTGTTGCTTTATTACCCTCCCCCCCCCCAAATCATTCTGTTATTAAAGGGTAATGACTTTTTGTTTTGTTTTGTTTTGTTTTTGAGACAGCTCGCTTTGTAGCCCTGGCTGGCCTGGAACTC